AACAAACATCCTATCTAAGCATCTTACAGCCAGGAACTCTTTGAGGCGATCCTCTATGCTTCCTTTGTGGATGGTGAAGAGAGCAGCAGCGATCTGGTTGATGGCTTTGGCCAAACAGTGGATGTTGTTACAGTGGCCTGTAGGGGGCAGCAAAGACACACTGTTGGCAAGAGACCAAGAAAACATCATCTGTATTTGAAGATCTGTGAAGTGTGGCTTTCAGAGCAGACGTCCTCTGGCACACAGAGATGAAACTCTCTGGAGAACATGGACTTTATTTCTGTATTTTATGCTGATGACACCTATTGTGAGGGATACATAAAAAGTATGTGCACGTAATTGCAAGTTCACAAAATGCTTAGCATGACTGCACTGGCGCTGTGTATTAAGATATGCTGCTGGAAAACCAATTGCTGGCCAATATGCCGTCTGCATACCAACAATGGTGGAGCCCATTACAACTCATTATCCTTTTCAAATGCCCCTTATCAACAACGGAGCCTTTCATTTCAAGGCTGTTAAGAGGCACTGTCTTAATTATTCACCCTTGAGTGATTAATCTCTTCGATGCCCTATCAAAATAATTTAACTACAACAGGGTGTCTCTACTGAAGTGTCAGGTTTATTGAACTGAATCACTTTTTTTTAAACAAAACATAAGGTGAAACAGGCCACAATGAGGAAAATGACCTTTAAAAACCTAACAATTTCATCATTTAAACTGATTTCATCATTTAAACTGTGCACACACATGAATCAATCTGAGGGCATGATGTCGATCTCATTTGCGTGCATGATATTCTAATAATGCTGATGCAGTAAATCGGGTTTCCAGGTAGAACTGTGTGCAGCAGTTTTTCCTGCACCGCTCTCAGTCTCTGAGCTGGTTCTACATTACAACATGCCCTCAATAGTGTCATTATTCATTTCCCACCCACAAAAAGTTATTACAGATTAAAATAATAATGCAGAATTAGATCACAACACTGCAGCACACATAAACATGCTGCTGGCTCAGCATCCACACAATTAATACAGGCTGATTTTATTAAGAATAAAGAGAGGAAGACATCTGAATCACACTGAGCTTGAAAATCCATTCCTTGATCTAGACTGTGTGGATTCATGACTGGATTAAATAAAACCCATAAAATCACACTTGATATTAAGGTGTGTCCCGGTGTCTGGGCTCTTTGGGGCAGTGTTCACTCAGTGGTACAGGTTGTTCACTCTGTGTTCAAAAGCAGAGACATCCTGTCGCTTAATATGGAAGAATCACCTGTTTTCGGAGATCAGAGGCTGCCTCCGAAACCGCCTACTACCATACTGTATAATAGGCGAAAAGCAGTAGGCGAGGCGAGTAGTATGTCCGGATTCGTAGTATTCCAAAAACAGTAGACGAAAAGTACCCGGATGACCTACTGCTTCCGGTTGGATTTTGCAGTGTGCATACGATGGACACTTCACTATCCCATGATGCCCCGGGAGAGGAGTTATCCAACGAAGAAGACGCTGCTATGAAAACGTATGTCACGTGATGTATCAACATGGCGGATGTAGTACGTCCGAATCTCATTCATACTACCAGGCTTCATACTATACAGTACCTACTGTTTTAACGGTCAGTAAGTAGGTACTTCATCTCTTTCAGTACGTACTGTCACAGTATGCGGTTTTGGACGCAGCCAGTGTCACTTGCAGCGTGTACCTGCGCAGGTAGAACGGGAAAGGAAGTTCGGTCACGGGAAAGGAAGTTCCCGCAGACCAATCATCAACAAGGGCCGTGCGCAGTGGGCGGGGCTACAAGTGGTTTAAATTTTGAGAACAGTTAGGTTAGTTTGTTGAGTCAGGAGAAACAGCTGTTCGCCGCGTCACTCGCGTTAGTCTCCGATGTTGGTTCGCGTTGGTTTGTCACCAGACACATCTGCGTCGTGTGCGCGGGAAAACAGAGCTTTAAGTGTTCGGTAAGTCCAGAACTTTAAGTTCTTTCTGTTTGTTTTAACACTGAAGGAAGAAGTGTATCTCTGTTACAGTGAATTTGTTTCCTGCTCTATGACATGCGGCCTGTAGATTTGGAATCATTTGAATCAAACTAATTTTATTTATCTTTCTCTTTTCAGGTAGAACTACCGAACTGTAAGTCAATTTATTTTTATTTTATTGTGGGTTCCCTTGTCAGGCCTCCCGTCCCCACTCCCGCCAGTTTATCCATTAAGGGGGTCTTGTTGTGGTCATTTTGCCACAAGTCCTGAGTTTACTGTGACTTCTAGAAGGTCTAGTTCAGGTGTTTTTGCCGGCCCTCCATGCCCAACTTTCTTTCCAACTCTCTTTTCCAACATGGCTTCTCTGCCATGACTATTTAGATTTTCATAAATATGTTTTATTCGTCCGATCGAAGTGGCCATCTGTAAGTAGATTTGTGTAGTAGGCATAGAACCAGGCTGCCAGGCACATAAAACTCCTAGGAGCTTTGCCCTGGGAGTCTTATCTGCGGTGCCGGTCTATCCCATCCCTGTCATTAGCTCCCGCGCCGTCCGTTCATCGCCATTTGAATGGATTTCGACCATGTTTATCTACAGAAGGTATGTGGTTTGTCTTTCTTCTCTAACCTGGTTGGTTCTCCTCTAGCGTGGTCGCCGTAGATATTTCCCCCCTACGCGTCCGTCCGTTAGTCTGAGATGGCCACCGGTCGTCCGTTAGTTACGTTAAGCTTGGGGGTCATCATTTGGATTTACAAAAGGTATGTGTCACACTCTAACCTGGTTGGTTTCTCCCCCCAGATGGCCTCCGAGCCACAACAATTTTATTTTTGTCCTGATGTCCTTGGTCAACGTTGCGCGTCCGTTTACTAAAGGTGAGTGCCGGACCTCTCGGTCTGGCTTCTTCTCTCTGTCAAAAACATGACCCGTGTGTCATGACTGTTTCTGGCTAGTCTGTCTGAATGTGTATTATTGCAATAACCCTTTGATTTTCAGGAAATCAACAAAACTGTAAGTGCCACTTTTTATTATTTTTCCTTGTCGCGGCAGCGCCTGCCTGCCTCTGTCTCTATCTTCTATTTCGGCTTTGGAGGCGCCTGGTTTAGTGTCTGGGGCCTTGTATAGGGGGCTGG